TGTGTGTGTGTGTGTGTGTGTGTGTGTGCGCGTGTGTGTGGTCGCATGATGGCCGGGCCTGGAACCCCAGGGGCCTGATGGCAGAACTGAGGTGTCACGAGGGAAAAGTCTCAAGCAGGCCCATCGTTACACCAGCACAATCACCTTTGGCCACGAGCGCGGTGTTTTAAAGACTTTTCACAGTGTCTTCCAGTGGAAAACACGTTTGACACTGTGAGAGTTCTGACACGTGCCTGAATAAAAACCTGTGTAATCAGGTGCGCAGCTGGCATTAGAGTTCCCTAAAACAATATAGTCTCGCTTGTGCGATACACTCTGATGTGTTGTATTTCATTCTATTTCATAAAACAACACCAGCAACAAAACCCACGTTGCCTGGAAGTCCAGCGTATTGAGACAGAATCCAGGCTGGCAGGTGGGAGGAGGGGAGGGAGGGAACGGCCTTGGCTACTGGGGGAGGAGTAGCCGGGGTCCCGGGCTGGGTGCCCGGCTAAGTCGACGCACCCACCCCACCTTCTCCCCGGCAGGTGTCGGCGGTGCTCCAGCACGCTGCTCCCTGGAGCTTACCGAAGTGGGCCCGAGGAAGGCACCTTCGTGTGTGCGGAGCACTGTGCCAGGCTGGGCCCGGGTGGGCGGTCGGGGACCAAGGCCGGGCCGCCTCTGCAGCCGAAGCAGCGGCAACTTGCAGAAGAAGCCGAGGATGTGGACGGAGGCGGCCCCGGCCCTGGTGCACCTGTCGGGGCTGAGGTGGATGTGCCCAAGGCCGGCCCCGAGGCCCGGCCCCAGATCCCCACCAAGCCCCGGGTTCCAAGCAAACCGCAGGAGCTGGGCAGCTCTCCGGCCGGCCGCCCCACGCCTGCCCCGAGGAAGGCGTCTGAGAACACGGCCCCGACGCCCCCCACGCCCCGGCCCCGGTCCAGTCTGCAGCATGAGACCCCGGGGGAGCCGGGTGGTGGCAGCGGCTTAGTAAATGGTGAGCGAGGGTTCGGTGGGGGGCCGGGCGCTTGGAGGGGTGTGTCTGGGGTTTGACTGTGCGTGTGCACTGGGAGCACTCGTGGAGGCCTGAGCTGGGCCCTGGGGCCGGACGTCCTGCTGAGGCCGATCTGTGCCTTCGAGGCACTGCCAGTGTCAAGGGGGAGATGGGCACAGACGGAGGGGTTTCCGGAGAATGTGGGAGCCTGTCACGACGGGGGAGGGGGGGCTGTTGTGGGTTGCATGGAGGCCACTTGGGGGTCAGGGGGAGCTTTGAGGAGAAGGTGATGCTGGGCCTGGGTTGAGGCAGTGTTTCCTGTCCGCACTGGGGACGTGTCCGCGGGCCACTCGGGTTCCCCCTTCTCAGCTGAAATGCAGATGGGGTTTCCGGGTACCCTGGCCTGGCCCCTATGACCATTCTTTACCCGTAACCTTGGGTGCTTATCTAATGTCCCTGAGTGCCGGGCCTTGGAGGTGCAAGGTTGCAGGTGAGGTCGCCACGGCTACCTGGAGTCCCGGATCTGCCAGCTAGAAAGGGAGGGCGCCCCAGGTTCCCCAGTGCCCGACTCTGCCGCCTTGCCCACAGCCGCCCGTGGAGGCCTGTCTCACTCTTCTTTCCCATCTAGGAAGGCTGCACGAACCCCCCGTCCCCAAGCCGAGAGGGACCCCCAAGCTGTCTGAGAGGTACGCTGGCTCTGAGAGGCTTTCCTGCATCGGAGGCCCTGGTGGTGGGAATGGGGGTGTTCCTGGGGCCTGGGGGGGGGCGAGGCCTCCCGTGGGCACAGGACTCACCAGCACACCCTCCCGAGGACGCGCAAGGCTCACTCTGGGTGGGGTAGGAGCGCTGTGCCCGCCTCTCCTTCCCTGAGGCTCCCCCCGGGGTCCCCACTTTGGGGCAGTAGTCTGGTGGAGACAGTGCCCCCGGGGCCCCTTTACCTCTCCAAGCCTCTGCTGCCCTGTGAACGTGGGAGAGCGAGGCCTCACTCAGAGAGCTGTTGTGAGAATTGGCAGCTGAGTACAGAAAGACCCAGAAAAGCTCAGCTCTGTCCCCGGCTCAGGCCCTCCACCCCGGGACCCTGCGTCCTGCGTGCGGGCATCTATTGCCAACTGTTCTTTGGAGCTGTGCTTCCCCTGTGTGGTCTGTGAGGGAGAGAGTGGGCCCCAGCTGAAATGGGAGTGCACTCAGTGAGCGCTTGCTGTATACAAGGCACTCTGCCCATTGGATCCTTATAATAACCTTGTGAAGTGAAGACTATTGTCCCCCTTTCATAGGTGGGCGACTGTGGAGAGAGGCTGGGTGACTTTCTCAGCCTCATGCAGAGAGCCGCTGTGGGTCCTTTCCTGGGCTGGGCTCATGGAGGCTGTGTGATGTGAAGGTTCACGCTCTTTGGGCCTTAAGGCGCCCAGCTGATGTGTGACTGTAACAGTGCATTTCGGCGTTGGACCCAGACTGGCCCCCCCTGGGCTGGGAGAGAAGGGTGCGGTTTCTCATCTACCTCCTTGGAAGGAACTGTCAAGAGAGAGGAGGCTGCTGTCCCCCCGCCCCCTAATGGTTTCTGCCTCTTCCCCACCTCCGTCCAGGACACCAGCCCCCAGGAAGGATCCCCCATGGATCACACTGGTGCAGGCAGAGCCAAAGAAGAAGCCAGCCCCCCTCCCCCCGAGCAGCAGCCCCGGACCTCCAAGCCGGGACAGCAGGCGGGTGGAGAACGGAGGCGTGGCGGAGGTGGCCCAGCAGAGCCAGGTGACAGCTGGCCTGGAGCCCAAGCCCTACAACCCCTTCGAGGAGGAGGAGGAGCAGGAGGCATCCCCAGCTGCACCCGGCCTGGCCACAGGCCCCGCCCTGGCCCACTCGGAGTCTACACCCAAGTCCCTGCACCCCTGGTATGGCATCACCCCCACCAGCAGCCCCAAGACAAAGAAGCGCCCTGCCCCCCGAGCGCCCAGCGCCTCCCCACTCGGTGAGTGCCATCTCTGGGGGCCCCCTGGACAAAACTCGGGGCTCGGCTGCCTGGGTCAGCCCAGGGCTGGGGAAGGGTGTGTGGTGCGGTGGGATCCCTATCGGGCCAGGGGCCACGTGTGTCCTTTCATTTAATTCGAGAGCAAACCGGTGAGGTGGGTGGTCACACTCCCATTGTGCAGGTGAGGGAGCTGGGGCACAGAGAGGGTAAGTGATTTACCCAAGGCCTCATAGCACGTAAGCAGTAGAGGCAGGATGTGTCAGGCAGGAGGCTCCAGACTCTATACTCCTAACCCTTCGTAGTGTGCCCGCAGGTGAGGTGTTGTGAGGGTTATATGTGCGCCCCAGCCAGGGGTTCAGTGCAGCCCGGCTCGCGGAGAGCGTGCGGCAGGGGTTGGCTTGAGTCCGCCTGTCTAGTCACCACCCTCCAGTTGCCGGGCACCTGGGACTCTGACCTGGCTGTGTGTGACACACGCGTAATGACCTTGAGTGGCTCCTTCCCTGTGTCCGTCTTCAGTCTCCCCGTCTGGAAGATGGAGGTGGCGGGCCGGCTCCAGGGCGCTGTGCCCCCTCCGCCCATTGCGCCCTCTCGCGTCCAGGCACGTCGTAGTTTTTGTCGCTCGCTGTCTTGCGGTTTTCTCAGGCCTTGGGCCTGGTCGCCTCCCACCGCGGCTGGGGGGTGGCCCTCAGGACCTCAGCGGGAGCCCCTTAGACGGTGGGACTGAGAGCACGTGCTCAGTTCCCTGCTCCGGCCCCTGCTGGAGCCCTGGGACCCTGGAATTAAGGGTGGCTGGCAGCTTCCGGATGCTTCGGGCAGGATGAGTGCTGAGTCCCACATAGCTGTGTCAATCCCAGCCCTTCCCAGGCAAGTGCCTTCTCTCTGGGTCTGTGGCCTCATCTGGAAAACACAGATGGTGGTACTTCGAAGCACGGTGTCCATCATCCACGTGAGGACTAGCGCGACACGGGGCGGTGCCTGGCCAGGGCCGGCCGCTGCGAGGGCTGCTGGCTCCTTCCCTCTCCTGCTGGTCGGGGCAGAGGAGAGGCCAGCCTTGATTCCGTCTGCCCTCCCCTCCGCTGGCAGATCTGCCCCTTCCATTGGGCTTTGCCCTGGGTCAGATCGGACGTGGGCGGGGAAGTAGGGGCAGGCGCCATGTGCACATGAGGAAGTGGGGAACAATGAGGAAACCCGGGGCGACAGGTGTGCCACGAGGTGGCACAGCGCATCCCAGAGTGTGGGGGATGAACGCGGATGATTTGGCCCCTCCTGACCTGGGTCCTAGCACGTTGCTGTTCTCTGGGCCCCGGCCTCGACTGGACGCGGGAGGACTTGGGTTTCCAGGGCCACCCCAGCCCTGTGGAGAGTGGGGGGCGTGAGGTGAGGCTGTACCTCCTCGTGTGGCGCTCACGCGCTCATTTGTTTGCCCAGCTCTCCACACCTCCCGCCTCTCACACTCGGAGCCTCCCTCGGCTACCCCGTCGCCAGCCCTCAGCGTGGAGAGCCTGTCGTCCGAGGGCCCCGGCCAGACCCCGCCTGGGGAGCTTCTGGAGCCACCGGTCGTGCCCAAGAGCTCCTCAGAGCCTGCAGTCCATGCCCCTGACACCCCCGCGACCTCTGCCAGCCTCTTCGCCAACTCCTCCCTCTCCTCCTCTGGGGAACTGGTGCAGCCCAGCACAGACCGGACACCCCAAGCCAGCCCTGGCCTCACTCCCAACACTAGGGGCAGCCCGGGGCCCCAGCCAGCCAAGCCCTGCGGTGGCGCTGCCCCCACGCCTCTCTTACTGGTTGGAGACAAGAGCCCCGTGCCTTCTCCTGGAACCTCATCCCCGCAGCTCCAGGTAAAGGTGAGTTCTCCCCGCCTGCTAAGAGCTGCTGTCCTGTCCGGTGGATCTGTCCGGTGGTCTGACTTATTTACTGACCCGGATGTGTCCCTCGGCCCATTCATGACTGTATTTGCGGAGGCACGGATTCATCCACCCGTCCACCCGTGCATCCGTTCCCCTGTCCCCATGCCTGGCCCTTCATGTAGTGATGCGTCCAGGCCCCTGTTTACTTGCCTGTCCCATGTACTTGTCCCACTGGGACCCCTTCACCCAGCCACCGTCTGTCTTCACATCCTTCTGTCCACCTCTCCATTCTCTGAGGCCCTGCTTCTGCCAGAGGCCCCCTCCCAGGCTCACCCCAGGCTCTGTCTCCTCTTGGGGGTAGAGTGGGCAGGGGACTCGTTTTCCAGGTGACCTTCGTGCCTGTTTGTGTAACTGTTTCTCAGTCCCGTGCCAAGGACTGGGGTCATTAGGGATCAGGACATTTCCTCTAGGCGTCTAGTTCCTGAGGGCACCTCTCTGGTAGCCACAGTCCTTTTGGGCCACCAGGTTCTGATGGTCCACATCTGCACACTCTCTGTAGCCCGCTGGGGCCCAAGGCTCGTGCAGCCCCGGGGGCAGGGTGGCAGGACAGCTCATGGGGGTGGGGGGTGGTGGCCGTCGTCATGGTCTGACGGACCTGACAGAGGATAAGTCGGGGGAGAGGGCTGAGCTTTCGGTCCAGACAATTTAACCTGCCCCGGCCTGGGCAACGGCGTCCTAGCCAGCTCTGCCTCCCGCCTGCTGTGTGACCTTGAGAAGGCCCTGCCCCTTCTGTGGGCCTCGGACTGCTCTGGGGAGGCCCAGGATTCCTTAGGAGGGGCAGGTAGGGGAAGAGGTCAACTTTGGACACCTCCCCCTTCAGGCAGCTCCTTTGAAACGTCTTCTTCCCATCCTGCGGTGTGTGTAAGGTTGGCTTGACAGTTGGTGCTGAAAGGCTGAGAACCCTGAGGAGCTTGGGGGCCTCGGGCTGTTTGGTCCTGCTGGGCCCCTGCGGGCGCTGCCCTGTGGGAACCAAACCCTGTCTCCTTGCCATGCCTGGACTCAGGCCCTGGTACTTTCCCTGCTTTAGAAATCCCAGGGCAACTGCCAGTCCAAACGAATCCCTGGGCTGGCACAAGTGAGGGGAGCAGGCCTCCCTCCAGCCTCCCTGAGCTGCTTGGAGAAAGTTGGGTAAACACTCTCCTGGGAGCACTGCAGGCCTCAAGTGAGACCTTTCCATGGGGCCCACGATGACCCCTCTGTTTCCGATGAGCTGGGGAGAGCAGTTGGAAGACGCTGGCGCCTCTCGTATTGGCAGGCGAGGCCCTGTCCCAGTGCTGGGGCGGCCTGGCTGTGCTGGCCTTGGAGGGTGCAGGGGTCTCCGCAGAGGGTCAGACAGATGCAGGGCTGTGGATACGTGAAGGAGGGTGCAGCAGAGAGAGGGTAGGGGTCTTTCGTGGACAGGGAGGAAGCCACTCTTTTCTCCATCTACTGGCCAGATGGAAGGTGGGATCTCTGCTTTCACACTTCCTGGCCGGGCGGTGCTGGGCAAGGAGCTTCGTTTACCTCTCTGAGCCCTAGTGCCTGCTAGAAAAGGGTGGTTGTGAGGCCTGAGTGAGCTGTCTGGCCCTACACTTCATGTCCTGACCACTGCCCCGGTGCTCGACAGCTGCCCTGGCCCTAGCTTGGGCCCTTGGGAAGTGCATGACCTTGAGCCAATCAATTAACCTCTCTGAACTTGAGCGTCCTCCGCTATAAAATCGGCCTTCCAATACCCATTTCGCAGAGAGGTTGTGAGAACAAGAGTGTAGAAAGGCATCCAGGGCAGCAACTACGTGTGGCAGGTGCTTGGAAGTGGAAATGTTTGTTGAATGCCTCAGTGCATCCGAGACTGAATGCTGGGAATCTCTCTCTGCCCGGGCTGCCTCCTCCCAGGCTCCAGGCCGTGGTCCCGTAGTCCCGTAGTGATCAGGCTACAGCAGGGGGCGGCAGAGGGGGGCAGGGCTTGTCTTACTGCCTCTTCCCCAGACTTATCCTCTGCCATTCTCCCTGCCTTTAGTCTTCCTGCAAGGAGAATCCCTTTAACCGGAAGGCATCACCCACAGCATCCCCAACCACAAAGAAGGCCACCAAGGGATCCAAGCCAGCCAGGCCACCTGCCCCAGGACACGGCTTCCCACTCATCAAGCGCAAGGTACCAGCCACTCGGCTGCCTGAGCCCTGGGGACCCCTCCCTTGGCCGCCTCAGGCATCCCCTGGGGCTCTCCCAGAGGATGGGCTGTCTGGGCAGCTGCCCTCGGATGCCCGAGGGTGGCCTGGTCGGGAGGTTTAGCTTGCAGCCAGGGGGATTTTGAGCAGACCAGCTGTTCTCAACCGGGCGTAATGAGTGGTGCATTTAACTTGTTACTAATAATAGTTCAAGGATCAAAGCACTCACATGATATACTTCTAGTTAAACAGATTAGAGCGTTCTCGAGTTTATCTGTCCACTAGGGTCACTCTCTCACATTGTGGTATCATTTCTGGAAGGGCAGAGAAGCGGGGGGAGGGTTGCCACGAGAGGCAGGAAGTTTTGCCTCCCTCTGGGTGTGCCTGTTGGCCCTGGCCGGGGCCAGGGGCATCAAGGGGCTGTGGCTGTCCCCACTGCCACCCTTCCCTGCACCGGGATCCTGTACCTGGCCACGCTGGGGGGTCTGACACAGCCTAGGGCCCGGGTCTGTGGTGGCCAATGCTGGCCAGAAATGGCTAAAGCTCCTGGAAGCGGGCAGGTGGGAGGAATGGGCTGTCCTTCAGGTCACTGGGGCATTGTCGGGCAGGTCCAGGCTGACCAGTACATCCCCGAGGAGGACATCCACGGAGAGATGGACACTATTGAGCGCCAGCTGGATGCCCTGGAACACCGTGGGGTCCTGCTGGAGGAGAAGCTTCGTGGCGGAGTAAATGGTGCGGGGGCTGCTGGGAGGGCCTGGCGGGTGGGACTTAGGGGTGACGGGAGCCTCTCTCCCTGGGGGCAAGCCCCGATGGCTTCTTTGGGGGCTGGAAGCGCCGCCAGCCCTGGCCTCAGTGGGCATCTGGCTTCCAGAGGGCCGTGAGGACGACATGCTGGTCGACTGGTTCAAGCTCATCCATGAGAAGCATCTGCTGGTGCGGCGGGAGTCTGAGCTCATCTATGTGTGAGTCCCCCCC